GCCTCCAGGTTGGAAAGCAGGGTTGCTGCTCTGTCCTATCAAAGTACCAGATACTTTGGTTCAGATATTTCGGGCAAGAGGAGGAGGCTGTATCAATCAAGGACTTAGACTGTAATTTAGAAAACAATGTTTCCCTGCATAGTTCTTGATATACTAAAACAGTTTTTGTAAGTTAAATGCCAGTTTGGGGAAGAGCACAAAATTGTTGGAACTCTGAGTTAGGTTAGATCTGAAATGTTAATAATTCATGGAGTTGGACAAAGGCTGTTATCAGAGTAAAAGTGGAGTATTGCTGAGATTTTTTTTCTGGGCTCCTGAAAGCCAGAAGTAGAATGGTAAGATAGTAAAGGGTACTACTATCTCTGTGTAGAAATGAAGCACAGSAGTAGGTAGGTTGTACATTTTTCTTGTGCCTGATACCACCATCTACACTCATCTTTCTAAAGAATCCTAGTAATTTCTATGATTAAGGATTTTTAAAACTTCACATTCCTCCAAATAGAATGACTGGCTTTTGTTCAGCAACATGACCAAAATAATTACTACCCCAGGGAGGAGTGATTATGGACCAATAAAATCATCAGACGTTTTAATGTTGTTGTTTAAAAAAAAAAAGAAAGAAAAAAAATCAACCAGCCAGTGAGCTGTTCATAATTCAAAATTCATTAGTAAGTGTAGTAAGATGACTCCAATTCTATTATTTTCATAAATAAATCTCCTTCTTGCTCCTTTCTGCAAGATCAAGACTATAGCAGTCTTAAGTCATTTCCAAAATGATAATCCTGATTGTTCCCTAAATTCTGATGAGCTTCTCTCTTTTCTACACATAGGCAGAGTATCAATAGGGAAAATATCAGAAGTGCCCAAAAGAATATCCAAAATCCATTTCTAGATATTGAGTAAGTTGGGTAAGTTGAGAGGCATCTCTTTGTGAGCTTGGTCTGCACATAGAGGCATTCCCAAATGATAGCCATGAGACTGTTCCATATGGCTGAATAAGCTATAGGTTAAGTGGTGAATTGAATGGGAAGTATAGATATTATAGCTCAAGAAGTGAAAAAAGTGGACATTATCAGCGGAATCCATAACCTACTCCCCTTGAAGAATAAAGTAAATTAAGTTTAGGTAATGGATTAATCATGAAGAGATAGTCTTGGAGGTTAGAAAATTCTTTCCCCAATCTTTGAGCTTCAGTGATGCCTCCAAGTAAATGTGTGGGAGGAGTAGGGAAGGAAAGGTGAAGGTATGGAAAGTTTGGGGAAGTCTACTTTGTAATTTCCGTATCTAAAGAARGGTGGAAAGATTAATGTTAAAAAGAAATGAAGTAAACACTACCTAGCATATAGAAAAAAATGTAATACTGATTTAAGCTAGGATTTCATTCTAGGTATGTTTAACATGAATTAAAAGTAGTTTTTATGGGTCACCAATTCTTGGCTGAAAGAATGTTATGGCTTCCAAGTGGTGAAGTATACTCCTTAAGTAAAAGAAAATTATTTGAACCAACAGAAGTCAACTTTCCCCCATAACCACACAAATATGTACTGTGCAAACTGGGTCTTGGGTAAAATGGAGGCAAAGAATGCTAAAACTCTGTAAGGCTCTATTGTAACAGCATTTTGGAAGATGGACCAGTGGACAGCAAGACATTCTCTAAGGAGTGACTTAGAGAAGTGACTATATACGACAAAATATCTGAAGCATGGGTCCCCTTGATGTTGTCATCAGCTCTATACTCACCTTGTTTAAATATTGTGTGTAAACTGACCGTGTTCATTCAGTTCTGTGTAGAAAAGAAATATGGGGCTGTGTGAATTTTTGATATTCCTCAGTAAAGCTCTGCTAAAAGACCACCTGTTTTCAGTCTCATCCATCCTGAGGGTAGGAATGAGAATATTTTGCTCTGAAACACTACTTTGGAGAATGAAGAAGTAGTTCAATACTTATACTGTTCACACAGCCATGAAACAGGCTTTCTTTGATTCCATGGATGGGTTAGCTGGTATTGAAGCCATTTTATCATATACGTGGGTGTTATGTATGCAATTCTCTGTTGGATTCAGTGAAACCTAGGTGGCTACAGCAGAAATTATTTAGAATATCATGAGGTTATCAGATTTACCTTTTCTTGGATATACTACATTACATCCTTAATGTGGTTAAAAAGATTTACTTTCTTTGTGATAAGACTTGCTGCTAAAAGATAAAAAGGTTTGCAGAATCCAGTTTAAAAAAAAAAAGCAGCAAGTAGTGTGAATGTGTAGAATCTGGATGAAATGTGGCAGATATTCTATTCACACTATATTATCAATAAAATAAAAATTCAGCAATTTAAATCTACTTTCATGTGGTATCAAAAACACATTCTTCTGAATATTTAACCTACAATTTACCAAATTAGTGTCCCTTTTCATATTTAATTATGTAACTGATATTATTGGCTAGCTTTTAACTGTCACATATCCTACAAGATTTTCTGATTTTGTTTCACTGCTATTTTGTTTAAAGGAGGCAACATTTTCCAAATCTTAACTAAATAAGGACTTTCAATTTCAACCAGCAGATGGCAGAATAACATTGCTTCTAGAAAGCAGCTGCTCAGTGATGACAAAACAGAACCAGCTATTATTTTTAAGTATATTTGGTTAATGAACACAACTTCAGCAGTTTTGCAGCATGTTCATCCTTAATGAACATCTAAATCTTCTTTTAACCACCATCCAGTCATAAATATATGCTCAACAATGGGATATTAGAGGACAAAGATCAGGTATCATAATAAGGCTCAGAGATTAAAACCTAAGTCTTATCCATAGCTCAACCAATTCCTAGAAATTTTGAAAGACTTTAGGGTAAGTTTCCCTCTCTAAACTTCAGTTTCCCATTTATCAGTGGAGTTTGTGGGGATTATTATAATTGAATTTGTAAGAAGTCTGGATTTATGTGTAAAAATGAAATGTTTTTCTTAATGCACTTGCGTTGATAATTAGGAAAAAACACAAGTTATTYTCTACTGTTTTTAGGTTAAAAAAAAAGGTAAAAGTCGTGATAGCAATTTGTATCTTTGGAAGTTGTATTTTTTTCTTTTTAATTATCTATCTTTTAGTTTAGGGCCTGGCATATTTGAAAAACTACTTGAAAATGTTAGATGTATATTATTCACTGAAATATCTTTGGCATGTGAAATCATGAATAATTTTTTATTTACTTTAGTTTCCCTGTACTCTTTATAATAGAAACAACTTATTTTTATATCAAAAAGGTTCACAAGTTCTGCTTTTTCTTTTGATACTCTTCTTTAAATATTTTTCCAGTCTAAATTTTTCCTTAAATTACCAGCTTATGAAAATAAATCTCTTTCTAGTCAATCATTTCAAAGCCACTTAAAATGTCCATCTCTGTAAGGAAGGAGTTCTAAATTTAACTAGTATTATCAGCACAGCTTCAGTCAGCTATTGTATAATTGCCAACAGATCTGTCAAGTGCAGAAAACTGGCAAGTAAAAAAATAAGAGGTGGGGTGTGTCAGGCTGGGAGGTGACGTAGATGGAGCGGTTAACTTACCTGGTTAAGCAATACTTAATTTCAAAGCAGCAGGATCAAATATAATAGAAACCGAAAATATTTTTCCAATAAAATAAAAATTTTACACAGACTAAAAAGTGAGCAGGACAATATCAACTTGGCATGTCAGAATTAGCACTGAAAAGGTAATACATCAATATTGCATTAAAAATAAATCGTAGTAGTTATCCCCAAAAGGTCAAAGAGCAAAATAGTTGGACAAGTCTGATCTCAAATATTAACTCAATGGACCTAAGTTGTTTTAAACCATAATAGATTGAAAAAAAATTAATGCAAGCAAATGCCAGTTAAATTCTATTTATTATATAAAGAGATCCTGTAACTTGGTATGAAAAACAAAGCAACTCCAATAGATATCAAAAAAAGGACATGAACATTTGACCAAAGAGGAAACATAGCTACCCAAAATACACAGATATTCATTCTCATTAATAATCAAAGAAATGATTGGGATGCCATTTCTTGCTTATTCAATACACAAAGTTACAGCAATTTCTACTTTTTCTATTTTCTAAATGTACTGAAATGTGCTATTTTAGTAATAAAAAAACTAAGTCATTAAAAAAACATAGAAAATATGAAAATTTCTGCTAATGCAGAAATCATAAAAAACATTAAAATGGATCAACTCATGTGGGCAGTAAGTAATGTTCAGATCCCTAGAAGCCAATTCCTTTTGCTTTGTTTCCTGAGTTTTATTATGGAATCGTCAATAAAGAGAAAATTGTTCTTGTTTATACCCTGATAACTCCCAGCTATAGGACTATATAGATACAGATATTTAGGTCTATCTATATAATTTTTTTTTTCTTCAAGTAGACAATTATTCCAGGAAAGCACTTCAGAATCACTGATTTCAGAGGACTACTTGTTGGTAAAGTCCTATTAAAATTTCCCTATGTAATCTCAACTAGTTGGTATACTCTTTGATATTAAAGATCTAGTTTAGGTCTGCCTCTTGCAAGGCAATAGTGTTTTTACATTAGACTTTCTGTAGATGGCTTCTTAGGGAATCTGAAGTTGGTCCTGTCCTTGAGACATAGCTGAAAGGACATTTTTCTGATTTGATGCAGAAGAGAGTGTATCTCCTGCTTGCTCAGACCACAGCCTTGAGGCAGATAACACAGCTCAATATGCACATGGGCCAGAGCAGCACCAGGACAATCAACCCAAATTACAAAATAATCCTGTCAGAATGACTAAGTTGGGAGACTGAATTTAAAATCCTATAGCTGCACAGAATCCTTCCATCTTTGCTTTTTTTGTGTCATAAATTTTACTGAAAAGATAGAAAGCAGAGCAACTGACCAAGCAAAATCTGAAAACATTTTTTACTAAATAATCAGTATAAAAGCAACTCTACAGGGAAAAAAAAAAAAAATATATATATATATATATATATATATATATATATACAAGCAGAAAATGTAAGTTTCATCTGAAGTAACAGTTAAGTTTAATGACAAATCTGGTTGCCAATTTAATACGTTGTAGCCCTTAGCTATCTAACTGCTATATATGACTACAACATTCTGTGGTAACGAATTCCCATTTAAATAAAAACTGCTACTGTGTGAAATWAAAAAAATATTAAGAACAATTTTACTATAGTTTAAGTGTTAATTTTTTTCTACATACGCAAAATTCTATGTGTGTATTTATACAAATATGCATGAATGTGTGCATGTTTGTGTTTAATCTCCTTTTCTTTTTCTATAGATTCCAAATCCTGACTTAGTGCTTCTTCTTCTGGTAAATCTTTTTACTTACTATTTCTTCTGTCTGTCTAAGAAACTATATTCGGAATACAACCACCCAACCTGAACAGTTGACTGATATGCCAAAAACCATGCAAAGAGGAAGCTAACAACACTTGACAACCTTTTGTGTATTAATTTAGAGTAAGTGGCTTCCCTCTGATGTTTTTCAGTCAGATGAAAACTTTCAACTCTGAAGTACAATGGGCATAATTATACATTTACTACAGTGACCTACAATTTAACTAATGTAACACCACAAAAATACATCTAATTTAACATTTTTCTATGTTCTTTTTTTTCGGGTGTTAAAACAGCTGGATATGCTTAATACATTTTCAGAATGCATTGCTAACCATTTGACAAACATACTAAGCCAAACAAGACAAATAACATAAGTTACCTTTTTTGTCAAATAACTGTATCAATCATTATAAGATACAATTAAAGGGAAGTATGTCATCACCCATGATGCACTGCAAAGGTATTACACCTTGGATCTAAGAATGATCTGATGGTGCTGAAAGAGGCGATTCTCTAGAAGGTGACCCAGGGTTTTCTTCAGGTGGAAAAACTGTGAGGGTACAAGCTCGAATGCCACCAAGTGACTCTGGAAGATCAAAAACTTTATGCCACTCATCCTTTTCTGGGTCATATTTCTGGACAATTTCTACCATACAGCGATTATTCCAAGAATATCCACCAACAACATAGATTTTATTTTCAAAAACAGCAACTCCAACATCACTTTGACCTCTTAACATAGCAGCAATTGGTGTCCACTGGTCAAGGGTTGGTGAATAGTATTCACAGCTTAGAACATCATCGTAATCACTTGTTCCTCGGAAATGGTTGCCACCAATGACATAGAGCTTGTCTCCAACTGTACACATGCAATGCAGACCTCTGACTGTAGTCATTGGAGCCTTCTGTGTCCATTTATCTGTATCTGGGTCGAAACACATGAGCTCATTTTGAAAGGTGTCATGGGTAATTCCTCCTGAAATATACATTAAGCCTCCATACACTGTTCCAGCATGGCCATAGTGTGGTTCACTCATTTTTGCAACATAGCTCCATTCATTCATTCGTGGATTGTAACATTCTACTGTGGCCAATTCACCAGCTGCACTGCGCCCACCAACTGCATACAAATGTCCTTTGAGGGCACTCAAGTGGAAGAATGTACGCTTTTCATTTAATGATGCCACCTGCATCCATTTATTATACCGAGGATCAAATCTGAAAACTGTATCAACAGCAGTTTTTCCTTTCGTATCGTAATTACTCTGACCACCAACTACATAGAGGAAGTTTCCAATGACAGCAATGCCATGCTGGTAACGAGGAGCATCCATGGGAGCTAAAGATCTCCACTCCTGTGCCCTTTCATCATACATTCGTAATTCTTTACTAACAACCAGCTGCTGCCTCAAAACTCCTCCTAATGTAACCAAGTGGGTGGAGTCAGACCGAATGGCAGTTCTGTCTGACTGCATCACTGGCTGCATATATGGCATCATTTGGTAATTGCTGGCTTCCAAAAGCAAATTCACGCAGGTATTGTCTGTTCTCATGAAATCTACTGTCTGCACATAGTTGATGAGGTCCTGTGGTGACATTAGTGGAAATCGAATATTCTTCATTAATTTTGCAGCATAATCCATTCGAGGATCTTCCAACCTCAGCCAGCGGCAGGCAGCCTTGAAGAGTTCAAGTTCAGTACAGTGCTTAAGACTATTACTGGAAAGTACAAAGGCAAGCCGTTCAAAAGGGAGTTTTAGAAATTCCCCTGTATTCAATAAAGCAGGAAAGTTCTTCAGGATGAAATTATTAACATATTTATCCACTTCTATAAGATTGTAGGTGTTAGCAATTCGTCCAACTTCAACACAGTTATCTAAAGAAACTCCTGATATAAGAAAGACTTTACAGAAGTCCAAAACAGGTAAAATTTGTAAAAAGCTGGCAGCTTCAAGTGTGTCCTGAAGATTGTCCATATTAAGAGAAAGTTTTGCAGTATAAATAAAATCAATGATTTTTTTCAGACCAACCTTGTTCACTCCATGAAGCTTAATGCACATTAAATCTTGTTCTTTCATCCCACCAGTGAACATTGCCTTGAAATAATCACTAGCAGAYGCCATCATAGCTCTGTGGACAGGGAAGATTTCATCTCCATCACCAGGTACCAGAGTCACATCACAAAGCAATCCTTCTATTCTAAGCTGATCAAAGCCTTGCAATACCACCGAACTATGAGTATTGCTGGTAAAAAATCGTGTGGTTCCAGCCTTGCAAGGCTGCAAGTGGGCAGAGACGCCCATTTCTCCGTTACCAAGGGACACTTTCATGTGAAAGCCTTGCTCGTGCACGGAGATGTATGTCAGACAAAGAAGTTAGAACCTGAACGTTTTACAGGAAACGACTATGTCCAAAGAGCAGGCAAGCTCGCTTTCCTTATCAAGGGCAAGCAGTCACTGCGGCACCTCTCCGGACACACCAGTCACTCATCCACAGAAAACTGTCCTGGAAGCAGGACCACAATGAGCTGTGGACCTCAAATCTGATTGTTAGGTTGATGATTCATCACCTGAAGCCAGTTAAATGACCCGGTTCACCTCGTCCGGCCTGAGCCGCCGCGCCTTCAACAGYTGCGCCCGGAGCCAAGGGGGAGGCGCTGCCACGTACTGCGTCTCCGAGGCTCGTCGGTGGCGAGGCCGGGCACCTCAGCGAGCGGCCCGCTGCGCCTTCCGTTGTCACTGGAGCGTCACCGCGGCCACCAGCGTATCTTCAAGCAAGGGCCTGGAACACGGGCCTGGACCTGGGTCTGGAACACGGGCCTAATCCCTTACACCAAGCCGGTCCTTCCGGAAAGGCCTAGTCCCAGGATCCCCCGGGCTAGGAGCGGCTGCACTGCTACGGCGCCTGCGCGGCTGCCAGGCCTTGCTGGTGGGCGAGAGTGGGGGAAGGGGCGTGCGCGGAAGGCTGGGAGGGCGGGGCGGGGCTGGGGGGGAGGAAGTGATGCTGGGTGGGCGGACGGCCAGCGTCTGAGCGCTCCAGCTTGTGAGAGTGCCTGGGCCTCTGAGTGACTGCGTGTACTTTAGGCTGCGCCTTTGCTAGTTTTCTAGGTGTCTGAGCCCTTCTCTCTTGCCAAGTGCATGCTTTTTCTTTAAGATTTACACTTCTTGGCTTCTGCCTTTAAATAACAATAAAGGGCAGCTTTTGTACAAATTGAGAAGAAATCTGGCGGAAGGGGAGGAAATTGCAAGAGAATGCTTACATTTATTTCTCCAGAAAACACTTCATAATTTTTGTCCCACGCAATTTAATTCATAATCACTTTAATTATAATTTTGGTTCATATTTTCCAAATTTTTTAATTCACTTAAAAAACAGTATTTATCTTTCAACCAAATTGTAGTCATAGTATGTAAATACATTCTAGATTTTTGGCTTGCAGTGCAAAGCCCTGCCATCTTAAATAATTTCTAATGCTTTTGTTTTCCTTTCACCACTTTTCAATGGCTATACAATTTTCCAATTACTGTGTACTGTAATTTACTCCGCYTATTATTTGTTCCTTCCTATATGCTTACTTGTCCTTGGTTGTTTTATAGAATCTATAATGTTTCTAGAATTGGGACTCTAAATTTAACTTTTTTTGATAGCATTTGATAGAATATTCAGTCAGTATTTCCAAAATATCATCACTGACAATATTTGAGTGTGCATTTTCCATCTGCTGTTTTTCTCTTTGTGGATATTTTATTAACTTGCATTTCTTCAATTATGAGCAAATTTAAGTTCTGACATAGGAATGAATGTATACTTGGACACAGTGTTTTTGCAACATTTCCAAAGTTTCAATTTATTACTGTTTTCAATCCTTCTGAAGTTTCTTTACATGTATCCATGTAAAGGTCAAGAATACAGTTACATTTTTAATTATACTTCCTCATTTTTATGGAAACAATAGCATACCATATACATACTCTTCTGCACCTTACTTTGTTTACTGCAAGATCTTCCAGAATTAGTATACACAGAGCTTTTTTTTTTTTTTGTATTTTTAAACTATTGTGTTGTTGTCTCCTGACCTACTGTGCCATAAATTATTTAACCAGTCTCCTGTTGATGAACATTTACTCAATTTCCATTTTTCCCCTTCTGTTTCTGGTAGATGTCAGCAAGGTCCAGAAGACTTAGACCACCACAAGATGCTCCTGCAGATCTTCAACCTGTTCAGCCCAAGAGGTTGCTTGAAATGACTGGCYTGGAGAATTCCATATTGGGAAGTCCTGGAGATCTGCTTGTGCAGGAGTTGAGGGTGGAAGGATTCTCTTGAGCCATAATGACTCTAGCTGTGAATCAGTCTCCATCAGGAAAAGGAAGAAGAAATCCACATGTCTTCCCCAAAGACAGTCCATAAGACTTAATAGCTCAGGAATCAGATCTTAAGGATTATGAGGGACAGATATACTTCATACTCCCACATTTAGTCATTTCAAAATACTGTTTTTTCTGACTTTATCATTAAATTAAATGAATAAAATTTATCACAATAGTTGGTGGTATTAACTCTGTGTTAAAACATTCAGTCCTTAGCATCATCAGACCAACATAGATAACATAATTAATTTATTCATGTACTTAGCTCTTGATTCTGATGCATTTATTGTATTTCAGCGTTTTTGCATGTATGATATCATGTTTACCTTTACATTGTATTAATTACATAAAAGCATCATCTTTATTGTTTTAAATTTTTCTCTTTATTATTTGAAGTATTACTTTCATGTCTTTTTGCATTTGTCTATTCTTGACAACTGAATAAGAGGGCTGATTTTACATCCTAAAGTGAAGAAAGGAAATTTAGTTTGTTCATTAATTTCTTACAAGTAACACTTGTACGACTGTCTTTGGGGTAAAAGAAAACAATTTCAGCTCTTCTGGAATTTTCCTCTTCCTCGAGCTTTTCTTCTTTTTTTGAAGGAGACATAAACATATTACTCAATTAATTTTAACTTCATTATATGCTAACTTTGTAGGCCTACGAAAAGGTCTTCTGTCATCAGAAACTGAAGATGCAGAGACTCAGTCTTGACAATTGAACATATAGTTGGGGAATTTAGAGAGTGCTTTGTCTAGAGACATTAATTTATGGATCTGGGGGAATGAATGAAGTCTCATAGAAAGTAAGTAGAGATTGAGGAGAAGATCAAAACCTGAATCTTGGAGACTTTCATTTTGAAATATAGGAAAGTGAATGAAAATTTGCAAAGCCCACTGAAACAGAATGGTAGCATAAGAGGAGAGCAGCCAGGAGAAAGTCATGATAAGAGGTGCTTTATGAAGAGCTGTTTTTAAGATATGATGTCTTATATTCAGAAAAAGCAAAGACTAGTTTGACAGATTTAATTCAGCAGAATCCAGGATGGAATACACTAAGGTAAACAAGAGGAAAGATATGAATGACCAAATGGATAGAAATTTCTTTTGAGAAGTTTATCTATGAAAGGAAAGGGAAATAGGGTAGCTCGTAGGGAAAAAAATGTGTGTAGTATTATTGATATAATTTTTGTAACCTTTTTACAAACTTTTCTTAAAGGATAGATTGCAAGGAATAAATGTTGTACAAGCATATACTATCAGCATTTTATTTCTTTTATAAAATAGGTTAAAATATCTATTAATGTGATTAACAGAGTAAAATGTCCAATAGTTGTTCAATAGTTCTTAGATACTATTGGGTTACAACACTTGGCATTTTATTGTTTTCAATTTTTAATTATCTTTATTTGGGTTTTATGTTAATGACATTAACTGTAGTTTTGTGTTATTCTTATAGATTATGCTTTTATACTTCCTTATTTCTTAAAAAGTGAATATAAACCTTTTATGCAGATGGTAGCAATATTTCTGTGATGCACTCTGTCAATTTTATGTTTGCTAACAACTGTTCATTTTCTTTATATTTTCCCCTAGTGCCAGAATATTGAGCATATAGAACAAATCCCCATTCTCATGATCTGTTGAACTTACAAATTATCAATTCTTTTTTATATTTTAAAATTTTCAAAGTTACTTTTACATTCAATTATATTTTCATCTATCTATGAGAGTCTAAATTGATATTTTGTCTAGATTACCAGGAATTATCTTTTTACCATTTATTAAAATTTCTCTTCCTTATTACCATTTAAAATACCCTTAATTCTAAACTTCACTACTACATATAATCCAACAATTTATGGGATTAATTTCTTTATTACTATTGGGCCACTTGCTTTTCCTCACTGTCACCATGTTTATTTTGTTGCTGTTTTATAATATAGTACATTTTTTTGGTAAGGCTAATAATGTATGAAATTTTCCTTTATATTCTCTGATATTTTATGGTTAACTTTAGAATTGTCCTATAATGGTCAACATCAATTTAAAACTAAATCAAAAAACTTCTTTCATCAGATGGAAAGTGGAACTGGATCAGAGATTTTTTTTCCTTCTGGAAAATTTAAGGTAAAGAACAAAAAAGTAAACTAAAACCAGCAGAAAATACAAATGTCGCCACCAAAAATACAAGCCCTTCAACAATAAGGAAGAATAATTCTGAAAATAAGAAAACAAATTCAAAGCAATCACAGAAATCCTACATATTAAAAATCATATGTGACTGTGGTATTCTGCATGGAACTCCTTTTCTCAGAGGTAACTCAACTTCCTTGAGCTTCAGTTTTCTCAAATGGTAAATGGAATACAAAATATGAGTGCATCTAAAACCATTTAGGATAGTTCCTTCTTCAGAATTAGCTGCTAATAAATATGGGTATTTATTTTCTCAATGTAAATCTACATGAGAATATTACATTTCCTTTTTTTTTTTCTGTCAAATAGTGTAAAAACTGTACCATCTTTTTCTCCATAGCTGGATGACCAAGTGTGTGTGTGTGTGTGTGTATTTTCACTTGAATTCTGGTAAGAATCTTCAAGACTAAAAAATAGTTTTACATCATATTAAAAAGTATGTCTGACATATTCAGTCAGCACAGGGGCTTGAATCAGAATTAGGTATTTTGAGGAATCTTGGGGTTGAATGGGAAAGACATATTATATTTTACTAATTCTGAAACCCAGCACGCTCCGGGCATCTGCTGCTTTCCTGGATCTGTTCTCTTACTTCCACATTGCAGTAGTTTCCTTCTCCAAGGTAGAAATGCTGGCCATCCTCATCCTTCACTCTTCACCTGTGCAGGCAGTCTTACACAGCTACTTCCTTTTCTGTCGTGCTTTATGGCTTGAAGTTTCCCATATAGGCACATATAGAAAGTACAAGTTGAATAATACTTCTAGGTTTTGCAAAAACATATATAAAAGTAGTCGCCTTTTATTTATTTATTTATTTTTTTTGAATATGAGAGCAACCCACTTAGTTTACAGGAAACAGCAGGATATGGTTACTGAGATTACGCCCTCTCTAGGAACAGCGGCCCCTGGTGGCCACGTGTGGTAGGGCCTGAGACCAAGTCTGAGGATCAGCTTCAGATTTAGGAAAGTTCTTTTCTGGGGGAAAATTTTCTCCATAGCTGAAAAGAGAACTTTTGAGCCAGAAATTAACCCCAATATGGGGATAATCCTATTGTCATAGTCTTTGTTACAAAGAGAAAGGGTCTTCAGACTTAAGGAGGATGTAGCATATTTGGGCCACAGGCAGCTATGGAGAGAGAAAAAGGAGTCAAAATGTGATTCCTTCCTCCAGCCTGTTGTGAAGACACTAGATTCCTGGTGAATGACACCCCGCCATACACACACCTGCCATCTGACACTAGAAAGTGGGTGGAGCCTGAAAATCTGAAGAGTTTTGAGTACAATCATATTTTGAGTACATGTCCTATTGAATGTCTCTTTTTGTCTTGGTTTCACAAATTCACTTTTTGCAATAGGTCTCT